GTGTCTTCCGAACTGCTGGTTTAGAGCGCTGATGTCATTGCAGGGCCAGCGCGAAGCTTGAACAAAAAAACAACATCGCCACCGCGATCACCATCGTCGCTATCGCTGCCGGAAGCGGCGCGACCGCTTTGCCAGGCTATCTCCTCTTGTTTCGCCTCCTCTTTCTCCTCTTCACCTCTCGCCGCCTCTTTCTCATTCTCACCCTCCTCGCCCCCTTGCATTGGAAGCAACGTTCTGGGCGCGATTCCCAGCGAATAAGCGGTCAGGCCGCCGCTGCGCATGCAGAAACAACAATCAGGAACAACAATAATCCGCATCGCTCGTGGGCTCGAGTTTGATTTTCGGGGCCACCTCAACAGCTCATCCGCCTGCCGCGCCGCCTGTGGGCCATGACTTTTTGCCGGCGGGAGGTGCTCGCTCTGCCAGAACCTCAGCGCTGATGCAGGGACAGCGTGGGTGAAGCAGCGCTGGTGTTCGTGGTGGTTTCCAGTGTGCCCAGCGCGCTGGGGCGCCGCCGAATCGACGATTCCTTTTCGAGTTTGTGAGCAGTGCAGCGGGCAGCACGAGTGGAAGCTCCGAGCAGCTGTTGAAGATCGACTCGCCCTCATGGTTGAATTGGGACTCTCTTTCGGCAGTGCGCCTCTCTCTGCAGGCGCAGGACCGCGTCCAGAGGCGCCGGCTGAATTAGGATTCTGTTTCATGTGTTCAAGGTCCCTGCACGCGATCCCTATAATGGGCGGCTTCGCTCCGCTCTCTGCGAGGTTTGCACGCGCCGTTGGCGCCGCGGGCCTGAACAAAACAAAAAACTTACCCCGCGCGCGCGAGCGTCAGCGGAATGGGAGTTTTGCTTGTATATGTGCATGTCTGCAGCGGTCTGACCGCTTTGCTACGCTTGCATGCTTATTCATGTTTCAGCGGTCTGTTCGCTTTGCTACGCTTGCATGCTTATTCATGTTTGCAGCGGTCTGTCCGCTTTGCTACGCTTGCATGCTTGCGCGATGTTGTATTATTGTTGCATTTTTGTTATCGTCACTATTATTCAATATTTTCGGTATTGTCTATATTTTCACCACTTTCACTATTTCCCAATATGTTTCATTGCGTGTTCGCTATGTTTAACTATTTTTCTATACTTTTCATTATCATTTCACTATGCTCAATATTGTTTAATAGTTTTCAATACTGTTCAGTATGTTTTCAATATATGTTTTATTTTCAGTAGTTTTTAATATATGTTCATACGATCCTATAGATATATGTAGGACGATATGGCTTTCTATAGTCATCGCGTTCATCAAAGTACTGGGGCCCGCCTAACGGATCTGTTCGACCCCAGCTCGACTCACGCTCGACTCAGATTGGACTCAACGTCGGCTCGATATCGACGGACGTTCGACGCAGCTTCGACGCACGAGTTCACCAGCCTGAAACATATCCCTATCCCTATGATCGGCATCGCCTCGTCTCGATGCCGGTCTTAGGGGGCCCCTCCGTTTCTGAGGGCGCATCCCTAAGATTGTCGTCGACTTTTGGCTTGTTAATCTCAGGGGTAGGGATGCGTTCGAGGCTGGCTACAAGTGGCGCGAGTGGCGCCAGGAAAGCCCCCGGCACGAGCGGCCGTCCTTCCGCAGCGGCGGCACTCCGGCACGAGGGCCCCCCTGGCCGCGCCTTCCGCAGCGGCGGCACGCGGTGCCCCGCACATGTGGGGGCGGCAGGCCAGCGGGGCCGCCCGTGATCCGACCCACTGCGGCTCGATTCCCCCCCCCCCCCCCCTCCTCCTCCTCCTCCTCCTCCTCCTCCTCCTCCTCCTCCTCCTCCTCTCCTCCTCCTCCTCCTCCTCCTCCTCCTCCTCCTCCTCCTCCTCCTCCTCCCCCGCCCTCCTCCTCCTCCTCCTCCTCCGCCCTCCTCCTCCTCCTCCTCCTCCTCCTCCTCCCCCCCTCCTCCTGGTCGCCCGCGATGGCGGCTCGGCCTGGCGCCCGCGGGGGCGGGGGCCAGAGCGCAGCGGGGCGGGCGGGGACCTCGACGGAGCTGTCCGCCGCGCCCCGATTCGTTCCGATCCGTTTCGCGGTGCATCCGGGGCGGGAATCTATACATGACCACCGCTTGGAGGGTCAGTTTTCGGAGCCTCGGCAGGCGATGGATATGGACATATCCGGGCCCCCGGAGGCCGAAATATATCCATATCCGCCGCCCGCTGGGGCACCAGGATCTCGGTTCCCGGGCGGTGGATATGGATAGATCCCCGCTTCGCAGGTTCGATGATACTCGGGCCTGCCCGAGTCGCACCGGGATTGCATGGCCGCGCCGAAGAAATCTGCGGCACGCGATGAGCATCCCGTGGGCGGAGCCACGTAGGCCGCACGGAACTCTCCGCGGCTCGTGGTGCCCCGTTCCTCGGAGAGGCCATGCCAGAACACTCAAGTGAAACAGCCGTTCGGGGGAGCGATCGCAGTGTTGAAGCGGTGCCGGTGCACACCAAATGCAGCGCAATCCCTGGACGCAACCTGGAGTCCCCTGAACTCATGCTGCAGCTGCGAACGAGATGTCACGCAGCTCTTGGACGCAGCCTGAAGCACCCAGAAATTATGCGACACCCCAACTGCATTCCATTGTGCAATCCGTGAGTGCAACTCATCGTTGACTTGCTGTATGTGGGGAGTCGTCACCTCTCACCGCCAGAGCAGACCAGTGAGGGTACACGCGCGTGCGGCGCCCAGCACCGCTTTGTGTCGCCCCGCTTCGATGAGAGATGCGCTTGGCCGCGGGCGCACGCCACCGCAACGCCGCACGGTTCCGCCGCGGTCTGACAGCCAGATCAGGGTTTTTCTTTAGGAGGGAATTAGAGCTAGCCTTGCGGTTTTCCGTGTTCTCTTCTCATTAGTTTGTCTTTTTCTTTGTCTTCTCCCGGAGGGGGGGGTGCGGAGGATTCTATGCAAGGGTGCTGGTGTACGTTTTTTGCTCCACAGTGGAGGCGACGTTGTGGCTCGGTGCGCCCTTCTTCGACATGTTCCACTCCAATGCGAGCGCCGATCAATCTGTGAGTCCCTGTGCCGTGGCTTCCAGCCCCGTACACCTTCGATTCTGGGAGCGGAGGTGGAAGTCGCTCTCCTGATACACCCCCACTGTTTTGAGGGATGGGGCAGTCTTTGCGGGGGTTGGACGGAGGCGCCGACTAGATACACACCCATGGCAACGCTGGCCAGGCCCATCCCACGCCCATGGTAGGCATGCTGGCACGGACTGAGGTGAGGCCTGGTGTTGGTGCTCCATTTGCGGCATTTTCTGGGGAAGGGCCATGGGCCGGACGGCGACTTCTTAGACATTTCTTGGCACCGGACCGCCCCAAAATGCAAGCGTTTGGGCGGGCGCGCAGTGGTTGCCGATGGCTCAGGACTCCGATCCAATCGACCCGATTCGATATCGATGGTGCAGGGTTCCTTCCGATCCGATCGGCCCATTCGACATCGATTCTGGACGGGCTGATCTGATTCGATCCCGATGTTCCGACGATCTTATGCGGGCCGATTTTTGCATGGCGTTGCCATGCATCCTGGCGTGGCTGATCATACAGTCGGGGCCCTGAAGAAGGAACCCTTTTCGTTGGGGAGGGGCTCCGCGTTCCTTAAGTGTTTCGCAGCCTGCCTCAGGTTTTCCTCAGGTTTCCGATGGGAAATCGAAGTTCAACTCATGGGAACAAGAGGCCTCGCTCCTTATTTAGAGTTCCTTAGGTCAACGCCCCTTCTGTATTCGATTTTGACCCCTTCCTGGAGGCAGCCCGCACCGACGTGCACTTCGATTCCATCCGCTCTCTTGCTCTGGTGCCGACGGATCCTGTGATTTTGGGACCCGCAGCAGCTGCCAGCGTCCAGCTACCATTCCAGGCACGGCGAGGTCTACAGTCTGTCGCCTGGCCTCGCTCGGGCGTGCGCCTTTTTTCTCGGCGAGAACCATCAAGGACCATCCTGGACCATCGAGGAAAAACAAACACGCACGAAACCGAAAAATGCACGGGGAATGGACGTCCGAGCGACGGCAAAAGTCTGTTTGGTATGGGTCCTTCTGTTCCGTAGGGCGCGCGAGTCAGGAGGCACTGATGGCAAGGGTGGCCTGCGGGCCGTGCAGGGCACTGTTCGAGTAGAGGCTCGACTATACAGAATGGATTCACCCCAAACATGTTTTCCTCGTCGAACCTAAGACACCTGCGTATACAGTTCGTATATCTACGAGCATTAGACGTGTTTTGTTGTAGATTCGATGAGAAAGTAAGTTCTGGGGTAGATCAAGTATGCCTGACCCTAAGAACACGATGAAGACGTGCCCTCACTGAGGTCCCCGTCTTTTGCATTAGGTATACTTAATCTGGCTGGTTTGGTTTGATACATCTGCAGAACAGTCCCCCTATCCCTACTGTTGCTGGCCCTCCTAAGTGAGGCCCCCTCCCAAAGGTTAGGGGCAGTTTTATTGCTTCTCATCGCTCGCCCACTGATGGCCGATAAGTGGCCGTGGCCCGATCGCCCTTTTTTCCTGCCCAGGGCTGTGCGGATTCGCTACCGGGAGCGCATCGCCGATCTGCATGAGATTTGTCGCCGATTCCAGCCTTCCTCCCCCGGGGCCAGCCTCCCTCGGTCCCCTCTGTTCAGTGTGGTTGCGAGGTCGTCAAGAGGAGCGGGGCAAGAACAAGGCGGCGCGGCAAAGGAGGAGCGGAGGTCGGGCCGTGGGGGGCCTCCCCGACTGGCTGCTCACAGGAGCGCCGGAAGAAGAACGGGGTCGTCCTCGCCGACGTGCGGCGCGTGAGCTGCCCGCGTAAGGTCGCGCGTAAGCGCCTTCGTCTTTCATGTAGCGTGCCTCGCCAGCTGCCCTCGTAAGCCGCGGCGTCAGGTCGCTGCGTCATCTCGCGTGAGACCCGCTTTTGATCGTCGCCCACATGGTGTCGCGGACAAGAGAGCGGTGCTGGGGTGTCTCCTCTCCCTTCGAGCTGCTGCGGCGGCCTGTCTGGCCAGGACCAGTCTGTCACGGAGGCGCTGGGGAACCTCCGGGAGAGGACGGCGTCGGCCCCCTAGCTGCTGCTGCCTGCCCAGGGTCGCAGGAGAGTGTGGCACTGATGACTCCCCGCATGCAACGGTGACGACGGGAGCGGTGCGAGGGCTTCCCTTCCCTGCGGCTGCCTCCCTCTTGCCTTGGGTCCTGCATTCGAAGAAGAAAACCACGCCATAAACGTAAACTTTTGGCGCTGCGCGCGGATCTCTTGGATCGGCGCCTGGGTCCCCCCTGGCGGCGCCTCCGGCGCCGCCCCTGGCGGGCTCCGCGCGCCAGGGAGGGGGGTCCAGCGCAGATCCAAGAAATCCGCGCGGAGCGCCAAAACTTTACGTTTATGTTTTTGTTGTTGTTTTTTTCTTCTATGGGTGGCGGCGGCCTACGTCAGTCGCTCTGCGGCAAATCTCAGCGAGAGGGAGTCCCTGCGTGCCACGTGGGTGGTGCCATTACAAGATCTTGGCTTCCTCACCCGTCGACGCGAATGCAGGTCCTGGATGCGCATCAGAAGACGGCGGGAAGGCTTTCTCACGTTGCGGGGCGGGACATCATCTCGCCCTCTTGTTTTTCAGTCGGAACCTCTGGTCGTCGCCTCCGTAGATCCGCGTTGCCACTGCTTCCGAAGGACATGATGAGCATCCATCGTCCTGGCACGCTTGGTCTAACCCCCGTCTCGAGAAAAGCGTGGGAAGCAACAATCATTGTACGCACATGCGGTTTGTTCTCCTCGAACCTCTTGGGGCCCCTCTTAGGGCTTCCTGAGTCTTGGGTATCTTGGGATCCTTGTTCCGTTTTGAAAGCCTTATTTGGCATCTTGAATGCCTTTTGGGACCGCCAGGGGTGCATCGTGCCGTGGGGGGACGTTCGGGCGGGGAAGTATTCATATTCCCGGGCCCTCAGGACATGGTTGAAGCCCTACCACGAGTATCATGACACGTGTCAACGTTCAGGGTTGCACTGTGGCGGATTTTTTCTATAGCAGTCTTGACATGAGTTTTTGAGCTCCCTGCTGAAAGCCAGTGCGTTCTGCTTGTACCTGTCTGCCTTTTTCGGCGTGCCCTCTTGGACGGGAAAAGCTGAAATCTCAGTCCGGATTATCAAGCGCCAGGCTCGGGTCAGTGGGGATGTCCGTCGATCCGCTTACATCCTCTCTATACGCATTGTTTAGATGCTGATGTGGGCCGAACCCCAGATTCCGGCGGGAGAGGAATCCTAACATTTCAGCTGGCCACTATTGGTGACAGGCCGAGGGTGCGGATGCTACGAATGTCTTGGTGTCGAACGCTGATGCTTCTTTAGACCTGTATGTGTACCCTGATGCTCACATGTGGTTGTGCACCACATCTTTCGTCGACTGGAGTTGGATTCATCACTCTTGGGAGCATCCTGCGATCCCTCGATGCTCATTGACATTTGAGCGGCTTACGGAGGGAACGGCGCTAGCATTGAAGGGGTGTTGTTCTCTTTTCGTCGATGGTGTGGGAAGCAATTCTTGCCACTTCGGATGGTATGCCAGCGCAGGAATTTTCTCTTGAAGCTGGAAAACCACATTATCAATAATCTGAAGAACGACAAGATTGAACGTCCCCACGCCCGCAGATTAATCCGCTCTCTTCCGATTCTTCACTGTTTGTATCCACTCATTTCCATGCCACGAACGTCTCTCAACTCGCAAGAGCGCGCTGCATCCACAGTATTCTTTTGGTCCGCCCCTGACCCGACGAACGGTCAGATCCAGAGAGGACCGTTATTATAGTCAACCCGCACCACGAGCACGGGCAGCCTTCCCAAGGGTACCCTTGTAGTTCTGCCCTCTCGGCCCACCCTCGGCGACTATCTCGCTGGCCAACCTCGTTCGAGAAACGTGAACATGGCCCCCCGAGGCTCTTGCATCCGCACCGCTCCTCCTCGGGACACAGGCTGCCTGCACCTCCCGAGCGCTTCCTGCGCCGTTGGGGGGGCCCCGCCCTGGCTCTCCGCTGCTCTATGGTGGGGCCTCCGCGCGGCGCGGGCGCCCGGCGGCCGCCCGTCGCACCGGCCCCATGGTTGTTTTTGAGTCGGGCACGTCCCGCTACAGGAGGAGTGCTCAAAGATAGTCTGGGGACGATTGTTCCAGTGTTTTGCTTTGACGAACCCAAAGCACACACCCATACCCATAGGGGGATCGGAGAGGGCTATGGGTGCGTGTTGTCGGATGGGGGTCCCCGCTCGAACGGGAGCGTTCCCCAGAGTCCGACAACCTCCACCCATAGCCATAGCCAGTCTTCCTCCCAACGACCTCGTTCGTTCGTTCGTTCGTCATGCTCGGCTATTGCAAAACCTGTTTTGATTATTGTAGTGGCCTCCGGCCAGCGCCGCCGATCCGGGGCGCTTCCGCTGCCGTGGGGGTCCTCCCCCTTCCCCCGAGCGCCCCCCTCCTCCGAGCACCGAAACGCGTCAGCCCACGTCAGCCCACGTCAGCCCGCGTCAGCCCCCCTCCCCTCGCCAGAGCGAAGCTCGAGCAAGCTCGAGCCCACGCTCGCAGAAACTCACACGCAGGGTCGGCGGGTTTTCCAGTGTCGGGCCAGACGAAAGGGGGGGATTGGGAAAGGGGGAACTGCATGCAGCTGGTTCCGGCCTCTCCGAGGGGCCCATTCCTCGATACATAGCCGCCTCCGGCGCCAGGAGGCGCCGGGAAAATCACCTACGTGAGCTGATTCTCAAACCCCCTCTTTGCTATCCCCCCCTTTCGCCCGACCCGAGAATCCGCCTGTGGGGGGTCCTGCCCGACCCGACCCTTGCTCGGCCTGTGCCGGCGGGGGTTGTCTGGGCCTGCGCCCCGGCAGAGGCCCGCGGCCGTCTCTCGGGCCCCCCCGTGTGTTGGCCGCCCCGCGGTTTTAGGGTTCTGCTGGGCCTGTCCCCCTACAGGGGGATTTTCGACGAAAAATAAAAAATACCCCAAAAAAATATAAAAAATAGTCCCAAAAATATGTTCGAATCTTCTTTGGGATTTTTTTATTTTTCGTCGAAAATACCCCTGTAGGGGGACACGCCCGACATAATTTTAGGGTGTGTTTGCGCTCGCCCAGGTGGCCGCCTCGTGGCCGCCCTGTGCGATGGCCGGTCTTTCCCGACGACCGGCGCCCTTCAGATTGCACGACGCGGGCCGCTCAGCACAGATGTGGCACCTCATTGACTGCACCACGGGTACGTCGGCTGCACCCCATGTGTTGCTTTGCCCATGTTGCACCAGATAGTAGCCTTCGCCACATAGTTGTCACCGCACAACATGTACACTGTAGTTTGCATCTGACAGCCTGCGCCACACACATTGCAACAGTCGAGCTTCACCATACAGGTCGCCCGACATAGATTGCACCTACTAGATTGCACCGCGTCTGTTGCGCCCCACAGATTGCACCGCACAGAGTGCACATCGAGAGTGCAAGAACCCATGGTTTGGGATCCACTCCGGCAAACACATTTTTAGACAGGAGATTTATGTGTAAGGCCATTTTGTTCTTCAGGCGCCGAGTATTCGATATTCGTGGACTTTCATCCACCTGCATGGCTGCTCTACACGCGTTCTGCTTGCCTCTGTCTGTCACCATGGGCAAGGTTGGTGGCGGGGGCCTCGTGCTAAAGGCGAGAAGAAGATGGCTGATGCAGTGAGTTCTTTCCCTTTCCTCGCCTCCGTGTCTTCATGGGGCCTCTCTTCTCGCAGTCCGCTCGGTTCCGCTCCCCATTCGTGCTGCTTCTCCCTACGCGGTCCATCCTACCCCTGCGGCGTCAAAGTCGATACGATCTACCCAGTTCGATATCGATGCTGGCCGGCCCTATCATATTCGATTATGATATCCCGACGACCCGACGCGGCCGGATGCTTGCAGGGCGCTGTTGTGCGTCCTGGCCCAGCCGCTCCGATTCGATCCCGACCCCGCGCCGGTGAAGCCCGACCCAACGCACATTCCGATCCGATCCGGCTTACCGAATCGATTCTTCTTGTCGGCGGCGATCGAGGAGGGGAAGTGAGAAGGGGCGGGCCTTCTCTTCTCGGAAGGCTCGGAAGCCTCCCGGCCTTCTGAGAGGTGTTCGAAGCCCTCCCCGAAGACACAGAAACCTCCGAAGGAGCGAGGGCTTCTGAGAGGTCCAGCCGCCTTTGAGAAGGCCTTCCCCTTCTCACTTCCTCCCCTCGCTCGCCACCGCATTTGGTTTTTGGGTCACAGCTCGGGGCTCCGGCGGGAGTTCGGGGCGATCGGCCATCCACGAAGCGCTCCCGGCGAGGCGCAGCCGCTGGAAAACGCTTCCCCCGGGGGCGGAACACCGCCGAGAAGCCAGGACATCGCCCGAAAACCTAGAACCTCGAAGTTCGAACCTCGAATTCCCTCCCTGCTCCCCTCGCCCCCCTTATGTCACGTGCTCGCCTCCTGCTGGTGTAAGAGCTGCCTGTCGCCCCCGACGCCCAGCTCCGCTGTCTGCTCCCCTGGGTCTGTGTTGCTCCTCGGCTGGCCGCCCCGCCTGGGCCAGCGCTGCTGCGCCAGACTCGGCGTCGGCGTGCACGCCGGTCGTTGACAGTAGGCAGGTATTTGTGGATTCCAAGATCGCGCCTTTTGGCTTCAAGAAGCGATATGCTATTGCTGTGTTTTGTTATGCATCCTCCGGAAGCCAATCCACTTGATCCACCTTCCTACTTCATGCTTTTATACCTACTTCTGCCGACCGACGTGTAAGTGTCTGAGGTAGTTTGGGAGTTTCCCTCGTCGTTCTCTCGTCTGCGACTTTTACAGAAGGCTCGGCTCACTGGTGGGGGAAGTGCTCTTGAAGTCTCCATCCAGCAAGTGGTGCAGAGGGCGCTTGGAGTGAGGTGTTCAGCTCGTGCGCTGTTGCACCAACTCTGCTTTCCGTAGGTATGGTGATGATGGTGATTCTGACGTTGATGATGATGATGCTGGTGAGGATGATGATGATGATGGTGGTGGTGATAATGATGGTGATGGTGATGATGATTGTGGCGATTATGATGATGATGATGATGATGATGATGATGATGATGATGATGATGGAGAGACATACCATCAGTAAGCACTAACATGAAGGTGAGCACCAAACTTTTCAGACGACGCAGATGAATACCAATATCACGACTAACCCTTAGCAGTGAACATCAGAAGACGAGTAATCATATGCTGGTGACGGTGGTGTGCAGCGAGAGGAAGGGGGGTGGGATGGGCGGAGGGACCAGGGACGGAAAACGAGGAGGAGCGAGAAGGAGGAGAATACCCCTCGAGTCGAAGGTGGCCCTGGTGGAGGACTCCTTGACGTCTGAGCACCTGTACAGTCAACCCTTGGTATCGCTCGGTCGTGTGCACTTTTTCTCGGCGGGGATTCTTAAGGATAATCCTGGATCATCTTGCGAACAAGCCACGCACGAAACCGAACAAAGCACAGGGAATGGACGTCCGAGCGATGGCCAGGTACGGTCAACCCTCACAGCCAGGATGAGCAACCTCCCCAAGGGTACCCTTGCATCCTTGCCTCTTCGGTCCATCCTTGGCCGGTTTCGTGGGCCGCGCTGTGCTTGAAGAGTTTCGAGATGGCCCTCCGAGGCCCCTGCATCCTTATATCCCGCATCCTCATTATCCGGGCTGACCGTAGCACGTCCATCCGATTGGGCCACTCGCGGGCCCCAACGATCAGCCAACCGAGGGCAACTTGATGGCAGAGCTTCAGGAGAGGTAAAACACACACACAGACACAATTATAATCGCCCACCCCCAGGAAAGTTTAAAAAAACATGGGAAGCGGGGGGGGGGGGGAAGACGAAAACCCAGAACATGTGGGAAACTACGGGGCATCCTGTCATCTGTGTCTGTTTAGGTGTGTGCCCCCAGGGCCCCTTCAGAGCCAGATGAGACATGGACGCTCCCTGAGCAGCCAAACCCGTGAGAGGTGCTTCGGGCTCCGCCGGGCGCGGAAGACGAGAGCCGCCGAGAGCACGCGCCTTTGGGGCTTGGAGACGCGTCCCGTGGCGCGCCGTGCCGTGCCCGTTCCATGCCTTGGCGCATGGCCGTGTGCGATGCCGTGCCGCGTGGTCCTCGGCCACGCGCAGAGGGGGGTAGGGGGAGGGGGGAAGGCTTCTTAGAAGCACCCCTGCTTCTTAAGAAGGCGCGGTCCTTATGTATAGATGTAAGGCCGCCGCCTTCTAAGAAGCAGCCTCCTTCTAAGAAGCCTTCCCCCTCCCCCTACCCCCTTTTGCGCGCCGCCAAGGTCCGTGCCCCATTGGGCACGGCGGCGAGGCCAGAGCGCGGGGCTCTCTCGGGCGCCGCGGCGGGAGACGCGCCGGGGCGGCGACGGGGCGCGCGGCCTCGAGCGGGGAGCAGCGCCGTGCCGAGGCCAGCCACGGTCCTTCCCCGGGAGCCGCCTCGGGCTTTCTCCTGGAGAGTTGTGGAGGACGGTCAATGGAGAGGAGGCATGTTGCCAAAGAATTTCCAGATGTCTACAACATGTACTAAAACTTGATTTAAACATGTGTGACACATGTTTTAAACATTTTCGGTACATGTTCCCTACATGTTAAACACATGTTTTATTCGATGATCGGACTGTTAGGGTGTCCATTGTCGTGGCATCCACAACTGGAGAGCTCCTCTGGCTCTCTGTGGCCTCCTGGAGCCTCCCGTGGCCTCCTGGAGCTCCCTGGGGCTTCCTGCGGCGTCGTCCAGGAATCTCCTCGGGCTTCCTGGGGTTTTCCTTGTGCCTCCTAGGGCTCCCTGGGGCCTTCTTGCGGCGTCCAGGGGGGCTTCCCGGGGCATGCCGGGTCGGTAGCGTGCAGATCCGTCCTCTTTGCTTCTCCTAAGGCTCCCTGGAATCTCCTCTGGCTCTCTGGGGTTTCCTAGGTCCTCCTGGGGCCTCCTGGGACCTCCTGAGGCCTCCTGGAGCTTCCTGGGGCTTCCTGCGGCGTCCACGGGGCTTCCCGGGGCATCCTGGGGCGTCGGTAGGGCTCGCAGAGATCCAGCAGGGTAAACATGTCGGTCGTGCATGCCTGGCCATCCCAACTGTGTGACATTGCCTTTCCTCGTCCCGCAAACTATTCCAGTCTCGCTCCGTCGAGTCTTCAGAGCGGGTCGTCGATGTACAGTGGAGACCCATGCCAAGAAGCACCCTTCTCGCCTCCATGGTGCCCTTGCCTTCTTGGGTTTCGATGGTTCTGCCGTGGAGAGCGTGTGACTCTCCCACACCAGGAATCGACGGACGTCCTGGGGTCTCAGGGTTGGGTTTCTTGTGGAAGGTCTCTCGTTGATGAGGAGGAGGAGGAGGAGGAGGAGGAGGAGGAGGAGGAGGAGGAGAAGCAAGAGGGCCGTCGTTGCACGGAGCAGCTCCCAGCTCTGCCTGCCTAGACGCGGGCAGGCATCAGGCTCACCACGCCCATCGCCCCGAACCTCCGCTTCCTCGTCCACCTCGTCGCCGACTACTTCGGCCTCGAGCGCATCGTCGACTCGGGGCCGGGCGGGAAGAAGAAGGCCGGCTGCCTGCCAGGGCCCGCCCCCAGCCTACTGCCGCTTCCTTGGCCGCCCCTCTGCGCTCGCCCCCCGCCTGCCCTCTGCGGGGAAAAAACGCACAGACACGATGCATCGTCGAGAACGCAGGAAGAGATGGGAAGTATGGGGGAAGGCGAGAATCTACCAGATATGCGAAAATATGGGGGATCCTGCGATCTGTGTGTATTCAATTGTGTGTGTCCCTGGGCCCCCGCAGCCTTCCCTGCAGCTCCCCCGCGCTGTGGGCCCCTCATCCTGCAGCCCCGCTGCCCTCCCGCTTCCAGTCGGCAACGGAGCTCAGAGGAGGAAAAGGTTCCCATGCCGCCATCCTTTTGGCATCGCTCAGACGTGTGCATTTTTCCTTCGGCGAGGACCATCGAGGAGCATCCGTCATCATTTGGCGAACAAAAACACGCACGAAACCGCAAAAAACACTAGGAATGGACGTCCTGGCGATGGCCAGTCCTTCGCCCGTTTTCCTCTCTGTGGGCCTCCTGGGAGGCCTCTTCGCCACCGCTGGCTTCGCCTCGGAGTCCTGGGCAGAACGCTCTTCGGGAGAGGTCCGGCGGGAGTAGCGGTATCGGCATACCTTTTGGTTCCCCCAGCTGCCTTCCCGCTTCTAGTCGGCACCGGAGCGCCTTCCTTACGGGAGGTGGGAGGAGGAGAAGGAGGAGGAGGAGGAGGAGGAGGAGGCCTGTCCCCGAGAGTGGCATGCCTATTTCTGTTGCAGTTCTCTCTGCAAACATAGGCGGTGCCCCCTATCCAAGGCTGCTGCCTCCTGCGCGAGGCCGCCCGCGGGACCACAGCGGGAGGGTCTCGACGTCTTGGTGAGGCGTCGCACAGCCTGGCAGTGGCGAGGAGCTGCGCTTCCCCCATCCCTTCTCGAGATTATCTTGGGCCTCAGTGGGCCCTGGAAACGACAGGGCCGTTTTTTTACCGCTTCCGTTTTTTGCTGGTTCCGACGCCGCTTTTCTACCGGTTCCGTCGCCGTTTTTGTTACCGGTTCCGGCTCCTGTTCCAATCCTGGAGCCGTTTTTGAGCCGTTTCCGTTCGCTGTTTTTTTGCCGTTTCCATTTTCAAGGGACATTTTTTCGGAAACGGTGAAAAAACGGCCCTGCCGTTTCCGGGGCCCATAAAATCTTGGGCCCTTGGTGTTCGTTGGCAAGGCAGGGCAGAAGCTTGGCATGCTTCCTGGAAGCATCTCACGGACTTGTGGGGGCTCGTTTTCGAGGGAGGGAGCACCACCCGGACCCGACAATTGGCGTTTACTAAACGGCCCTGTGTTTTTTTAGAACAGCCTTGCCCTGTTCGATCCCTTCTGAGTGCGCGTTTGCTAAACGGCTTCGCGTGTCGGGGTGATCGCTGTGGGGGTGGATTTTTACCTAACAGCGAAGACTGATAGGTTTCTGGTGGGGTCAAAAGAGAGCACCTTGACGCCCCAGGGGGGTCCGGGCAGGATCCGGGGAGAAGCCGCGGAAGTCGATTTAAGTAAACAGTTACACACTTCGTGGTCTTCGAGGTCCCAGAACTGCTTCCTGGGCATGATTTTGAATGCCCCGAGCCACCTGTAGGCCACTTCGTGGTCTTCGAATTCCCAGAACACCATTCCCGGGCCATATTTTGAATGCCTGGAGCCAACTGTAGGCCACTTCGTGTTCTTCGTGTTCCCAGAACATCACTCCCGGGCTACATTTTGAATGAACGGAGCCAACTGTAGGCCACTTCGTGTTCTTCGTGTTCCCGGAACATCACTCCCGGGCCACATTTTGAATGCCCGGAGCCAACTGTAGGCTTTCGTGTTCTTCGTGTTCCCAGAACACCATTCCCAGGCTACATTTTGACTGCCAGGAGCAAACTGCGAGGCTGAGGCTGAGGTAGGCTGAGGGTGAGGCAGGCTGAGACTGAGCCTGAGGCAGGCTGAGGTTGAGGCTGAGGCTGATGCAGGCTGTGGCTGAGAGGCTGACGCTGAGGCTGAGGCAGGCTGAGGCTGAGGCTGAGGCCGAGACAGGCTGAGGCCGAGGTTGAGGCAAGCCGAGGCAGGCTGAGGCTGACGCTGAAGTTGAGGCAGGCTGAGGCTGAGGCTGAGGCTTGAGGAAAAACGAGCCCTTCGGATTGGATCTGTCCCCTGCTCTCGGCTTTAAGCCCGTTATATACTCTTTTCCCCGTTTCTCCTCCCTCTTATCTCTCTCCCATTGCTGCCGGCTCGGTTCGAGCCGGCTTGAGGCGAATTGGTTCCTGGCAGCAGGACTGGAAAAGGGGGTTCGCTCCACCTCGAGCCCTGCGGGCTCCGCCGCCGACCCCCGCTGCGGGATCGGGAGGTCAAGAGAGGGCCCAACCCGGTTCCGCAGTGGTAGCGGAGCTCGCCGCCTGGCGGGCGCCATCTGCAGGAGGCACAAACAGATCTACGTGGAGAGTTTGGTACGAAGGCGTGCTGGACAGAGAACGTGAACTACCAGGACGTGCACACGGAGTGCGACGACGACGGGCGATGCGGCAGACATCGACCCCAGAGCGCTATCCAGCGATGGGCGGCGGCACGCTCTCGCCAGACGCGTTCCCTCCGCGGCCGAGCGGAGGACGAGGAACTTCATGGACGCAGCGCTCCTCGACAAGTTGGATGACAGCACCAGCGTGGACCAGCCGCGACCTCGAGGGCATACCTAGCTGGAACGGCAGCCCGTCGCGGTGGAGGAGATGCAAGAAGGACGTGGCGCTGTGGATTGAGGGCATCAACCTGGGCGTGAGTTGGAGCTGGGCGGCACGGATGGCGCGTTGCCTGACGGGCCCAACAAAGACGCTCGGCGAGTCCATCCCGATGGTGGAGCTGCGGCCCAAGCAGTGGATGTTGATCCCCGAGGAGTCGAGTACCGAGGCGGCCGCTGAAACAGCCCAGAGCGGGGATCACGACGAAGAAGAAGAGCGAGGCCACTGGCAGGAGCCCGACCTGATGGCGGGCATCAATCGCTTGATGGAGGTGCTGGCGACGATGGGAGTTGACGAGCCGACGCGCAGGGGCCAGGTGATGACTTACTTCTACAAGCAGTTGCGTCGGAGGGCCGGCGAGGATCTGAACTCGTGGATGATCAGGTTCGGAGAGGCCCGCAGCCAGTTGGATGAGGAAGACGTAGCCCTACCGGCGAGAACGGAGGGCTGGTGGCTGATCGAGAAGACCGGGCTGAACGAGACGCAGAAGAGCATGCTGATGACCTCGACCGGCGGAAGCATGGAGATCCGCGAGGTGGTCCCAGCCATGATGCGGACGTTTCCCAACCTGCACGTCACGGAGCGAAGGCCCCTCGCGTTCGACCGCAGAACGAGACCGATCGCCTTCAACCGCCCAGGGACACAGCTCTTGAAGAAGAAGGTGATTCGGAAGTTCCGAGAGGCACACGTGACGGAGGACCTTGATGGAATCAGCGGGCTAGACGAGGGTGAAATCGAGGCGCTGAATGCGGAGCTCGGCAGCTTCGACGGAGACGCCGACGACGAGACGGTCGACGAGGCCCTGGCGACGGAGCAGGACCACGTCATAGAGGGCATCCTCGCCGCTGAGCTGGAGGCGCTCTCGACGGTGCTCGAGGAGGCAGAGAACGACCCAGAGTTGGCTCAGGAGCTCGGGAACTTAGAGAGCGGTGTGGAATCAATGATGGAGGGCCTCATCGCGGTGCGTGAGAGCAGGAAGCGCGTGGGGGAGCTTCGGAAGGGCCGCGAATTTGGCGGCGAGGGCGGTGGCAGAGGTTCAGGCTCAAGCTCGAGCAGCGGCAGGAAGTTCACGTCGAGCTTCGGCAAGAACAGCCCCGACAAGAAGAACTCGGACTGCCGCGCCTGCGGCGAGAAGGGGCACTGGGCCGGCGATGCTTGCTGCCCAAAGCTCAAGGAGTGGAAGGCTGAGCAGGCCAAGAATAAGCTGCAGCAGCGGTTCAAGCCGAAGGACGCGATGGTGGTGGACCTGCTGCAGACGCCGGAGATTCGGCTGGACGCACAGATGATAGAGATGCAGACAGACGTGTTCGAGGTGCTGATGACCAGCAATTGCGAGCACGAGCAGGATGAGACGCCTGTGTTCGGGGCGACGGCGACCATGGAGACGGGCGACAAGCGCAGCAACCTGGACTGCCCGCCTTTCTGCCCGGACTGCGTTTACGAAGGGGGCGATCGCGATGTCCGGCGCTCGATGCGCGGGCGGGGCTACACGGAGATTTACGAGGGCGCTGGCCAGCAGGCAGCAGAGGATGACGTCTTGGCGAGCACGACTCGTTCGTATGAAGTCCTGATGGCGACGCAAGTCCTTGGCATGGGGAGTGGTGCCCCCTCCTCTTCCGTTGGCGGAGGGCCGGCAGATGGACCAGTTCTTGGGGTGGGGAGTGATGCCCCCTCTTCTTTCGTCGACCATGGCGCAGGGTCCGCGGATGGCCCAGGTCTTGGTGCTGGGCTGCGCCCCCATTCTTCTGCCGGTCCAATGCCCTCGGATGGGTCAAGAGACGAGCGAGCCATTCAGGAGGTGCTGCTCTCGTCAGCGCCCATCGGGGGTCAAGGGGGCGACGGCGCGCTCGACTCAGCATGCAACGGCACGGCGTCGGGCGACTCGTGCGCCAATAGACTGGGAGATCGGCGCAGGGAGCTGGGCATCGAGAACATCAAGAAGGAGCCGCAGCTCGCGATCTTCCGCTTCGGGAACGGCCAGAAGCAGATCTCCAAGGGACGCTGGACGGTGCCGGTGTCGGTCTTCGGCGTGGACGCATGCCTGACCTTCTCGGTCATCGAGGACTCGGTGCTGCAGTTGCTCATCGGGAAGGACGCTCTACGCGGCATGGGCGCCGATATCAACTTCGCGTAGGATTCGTTCATGTCGGACCGGCTCGGCATCGCACCGAAGCGGCCGAACGAGACCGACGGCGGGCACTACTCGACGCCGATCTTCCCGCGTGGGAGCTGGAAGCCCCCCTCGGGGATCCCGACGGCGGAGGCGGTCTTCCGCGTCA